TCAGCAGGGTTTTCTTCTGTTCCATAGCACTTAGGGAGACAACTGACAGAACTGACTTAACGAGCATATATAATTGTCATTGCTACAATTCCCTGAAAAAGAAGCCTCAAAATGATAGTGTCCATGGACAGAAATCACATGCTGGAGGAATGGAAGGGGGGCGAGAGGGGAGTCATTTGGTTGCAAGCTCTGTGTTTGTTTAAGAAAAGCACCAGAAGTATGTTCACAGTATTGGTACTCATTTTAAATGAGCTCACTGTATCAGGATAAAACAGCACAGCAGGTCATGAAACCAAGGAAAGGCTTAAGGGAGGACCAGTATCCTGGCTGATGATTTTTTAAAAAGATGTCAAAATAATAATTGTTTCTTTATAAAAAAGACAGAATATTTTATATAGAAAAAAGCTCAGTGTCCTTTTTTCTGTCACCTCCCAAACTCGTTGGTTTCTAATCCAGAAATTATGGTTCCCAGTTGTAAAATACTCCTATTGTATTGCTTGCGTGAAAAGAAAGAGTAAACCCGCAGCCTCTATACTACATACAAATACAAAGCACAAGAATAAATACCACATTTCTTTTCCTAATTGTCAGCTTACAAAACTGGTCAATACTTTGCGATTGTGATTCATGCAAATACCATGTTGGGTCAAATTTTAATATCACAAATACTGCATTAACTCAGTGCCTTGTTTTTATATCCCCTTTGAGAAAAAAAAACAACAACAACAAAAGAAATTAGCACTCACCCCTATAGCTGGTAAACAGCTTTGGAGAAAATAATCAGTACACGCACTGCCATACACTTTCTGGTATGCCAGCCTCATGCACACACCTGCACTCACACGTGCACACACGCACGCACACACATGCCCACACGCACGCACACACAGATCCACACTAATCCTTCACTGCTGATCCCAAGCCTAAGCAGTAACTAAAGGCTCTATGGTTTGCATGTAGCACTGAAAACACTGGCTGAATGGTAAAAGTAATGTTTTCTTCCCTTGTCTGCTCTTCCTCGCTCACTCCTTCCAACTCATTATGCCCTTTAACTTTTTTTGTTGCCGGGAAACGTGAAGCCTTCCACAAAGCACTCTACTTCAAAGGCTTTTTATGCTGTATAAATATAGTTGAAGACGTAACTTTTTTCTCTATTTCATACCTCTTTCTAGGCCAGAGTCTGGCTTAGTTCAATTATTGCGTCATTTAAAAATTAAATGTCCTTTATTTGTATCCCTTTCCCACTACCTTTCTACTTCAAATTATCCATCTTCACAGATTTTACACGTATGCCATGCTTTTCCCTCCCCACCATCAAAAAATAGTTGTCATCCGCTAAATACAGATTTTCTATTTAGAAACTTTGTTAGGTAAATATGCTCTGAGAACCTGGAGCTTAGGTGATATTGCAAGCATATAGGATCCTAAAGCTAAGGTAATCCATTTGGCTTAGCTCTCATCCCCATCTACTCCACTCCTAAATTGTGATGGCTTGTGTTTGCAACACAAGGGCTGTTTTACTGAGTCTACTGGATTGTACATTTGCAACAACTGCCTCCCTGTTGGTTTTGGTTTTTTGTTTCCTTTTAAACAGATAAATTACTAGAAGGGGGAGCAGAACCAATCCCCTAAAAAACCCACCCCAATCCCAAACCCAACCCTTCAGTGCCCTCAAAGAAACAGCAACAGAGGGCAATTATCGTGTTTTGTGGCTGGATGGAGTACGCCGAAGTAACGCTGACGGTCTCGGTGCAGCGGCTGTGGGAGGCGAAGCAACTGCAGGAGTGTCCAACGGGAGCTGCTGGGGGGACGGTGATCCTGGGGGCAAGGCAGGGCTGTCAATTCGGTTAGCAGGAAGCATGAGCGTGAGCCCTGGCCGCAGGGTCCTCCATGCTGACCTCCCACCACGCGCCTGCAGCCTCTCCGGTCTGTGGGGACAACCGTCCCTTGTGTCCCCCCGATGGCTCCCACCCCCTGCACCCTCCCCACTGCATTATTTCAGAGTCGGGCGATGGAGAAAAGGAGAAGGGCGTATTTTCTAGGTGGGGTTTTCCTGTTGTTTTAGGATTGCCAGGAGTTGGATCACTTCTGTGTCTATGCGCATCATTGAGTTTGTTGTGTATTTTAATAAATATTGGACTAAAATGCTGCTGCTTTCATGGTGGGTTTTGTGTTTGCCTTTTTTCTTCCTTTCTCTCTTTTTGGTTTCGGCATGCCTGGTCGCTGTCTTCACGCTGCAGTGTGGTTATTCGTCCTCCTCCCGGTTGGCATAAATGCCGGCTTCCCAACGCAGCGCCAGAGCGCTCTTCCTGCGGTTCACCCTGGTCGCCTCGAGGACCTGGTCAGGAGAGAAAGGGAAAACACAGCACATCACTCATCTGAGGTGCTCAGCACTGCGCTCCCGGGCAGGCAGGGACCAGCCGGGCCAATCCTTCCTGCAGCACTCCCAGTGCCACACCTCGTGCAAACCGGGAGGACTCATGCGATGAAGCACTTGCTGATGTGGAGGTGGGGGAGGCGGGGATGGCACACAAGAGCAAAGCCACACCATGGGAGGACAGAAGTGGTAGGAGATGTCTGGCAGCATCCAGCTTGCTGCAGGGGAGACCCAGCTGCTCCTTACCAGCCCAGCTGCACATTGCCCCATCCCTGCCTGTGGAAGGCAGAGGACAGGGTCTTGGTCCTCTCTCCAGAGGCACCTGCACACCTTCAGTACCAGGAACCAGCAACCAGCTCGTAGCTTCATCCAGAGGCTGCTTTGGAGCTGCAGGTGCAGCCCGGAAAGCGGTCTGCTGCTTATTTCAGCGTGTCACCCCTGCAGGCAGAACTGGGCAGCTCTCTCCGCACCTTCTTCTCGTGGTCTTTGGCTTGCAGCTAGGCCAACAGGAAAGCCTACACACTGTGGTCAAAGTGATCTTGGAGCGAAAAACGACTCCATGCATATGGGAAAGGAGATTTACACACGGAGGAACTGCACAGCCTGTTGAGTCTGGTACAAGATGGGCCCCCGATACATGTATATATTTTTCATACACACACAGAGTCACACGCATACACGCATCTATGCACACATATAAAAACATGCACACTGTGTATGTATTATACATATACACACACATGCACACACAGAAACAATTAACTAAAAAATAAGAAACAGTTATAATATGTGTTTTAACAAGGTTAAAAAAAAATCAGACAAAACCGAAAGGTGTAATTGTGATGTGCATCTGATGTACTCCTTGGCAAACGAGCAGTGTTCCTCAGGGGTTGGTACTGGCACTGGTGCTGTTTAACATCTTTGTCAGCAACATGAACCGTGGGATTGAGTGCACCCTCAGCAAGTTTGCCGATGACACCAAGCTGTGTGCTGCAGTCAACACTCTGGAGGGAAGGGATGCCATTGGCCTTGACAGGCTTGAGAGGTGGGCCTGTGCGAACCTCATGAAGTTCCACAAGGCCAAGTGCAAGGTCCAGCACCTGGGTCAGGGCAACCCCAAGCACAAATACAGCCTGGGCAGAGAATAGATTGAAAGCAGCCCTGAGGAGAAGGATTTGGGGGTGCTGATGATTGAGAAGCTCAACATGAGCCAGCAATGCGCGCTAGCAGCCCAGAAAGTCAACCACATTCTGGGCTGCATCAAAAGTGTGGCCAGCAGGGCGAGGGAGGGGATTCTGCCCCTCTACTCCACTCTGGTGAGACTGCACCTGGAATACTGTGTCCAGCTCTGGAGCCCCCAAAAAAAGAAGGACATGGACCTGTTGGAGCAAGTCCAAAGGAGGGCCACAAAGATGATCAGAGGGTCGGAGCACCTCTCCTATGAAGACAGGCTGAGAGCTGGGGTTATTCAGCCTGGAGTAGAAAAGGCTCTGGGCAGACCTTACAGCAGCCTTCAAGTACTCAAAGGGGGACTACAGGAAAGACGGGGAGAGACTCTTGATCAGGGAGTGTAGTGATGGGATGAGGGTGACAGTTTTAAATTGAAATAGGGTAGACTTAGATGAGATATTAGGAAGAAATTCTTTACCGTGAGGTTGGTGAGACACCGGAACAGGTTGCCTGGGGAAGCTGTTGAGGTGTTTAAGGCCAGGTTGGATGGAGCTTTGAGCAACGTGGTCCAGTGGGAGGTGTCCCTGCCCAGGGCAGGGGGGTTGGAACTAGATGATCTTTACGGTCCCTTCCAACCCAACCCATTCTATGATTCTAAATAATGCATGGTAGTGGGTATTTGCCTCCCCCTCTCATCAGATCAGTGAGACATAAATGGGTCTGGGACCTTCTTACAGAACCACATGGCAATGTTATTTTCTGACCGACAGTGGCTCACAGCTCCATGACCAAACTATAAAGCTACCAATGTCCACTGCCCTCAATGTGTTTTAAATCAGCCCTTCTTGAAGTGTTTAAACGGTCAGTTTTTAAAAATTGTAAAAAAAATCCCAACAAATACGTGACTGTTCACTGAACCATCTCTGGTCCCTAATGCTTCCTGCAAGCTGCTCTGCACAGTCCTTGATTGCTGAAGAGTAGCTGGCCTTTTGAGAAAGGACCATGCTATTTTATTCCTCCAGGTATTAAGTCAGATGCAGTGGGGACTTAAGTCTTGACTGCAATAAAAATAAATAATTGGAGTCTAAAGAAACTCTTCTTTCAGCTTGTAACAAGCTGTGGTTGGAGAAGTACACATGTACAGGCAATATCAGGAAATCAGCTCTGAACTGCCAGCTGAAATTGCCAGCCATAACTTTGCTTGTAGGAAGGAGAACACACTTCTGCATTTATGCTAAGACCCGGACCTCCATTCAGGAGCTGAAGTTAGGGTGGAGTTTGGCCAGCTTTAATATTTCTTTGCCCTCCTAGTTTCTTTTGATAATGACTATGAACAAGCCAAAGAACTAAAGGCAAAATCCAGCCAACAGGGAGGATTTTGAGCTAAAGCTCCACCTGCTTCCCAGCACTGACCAGAGCTACAAAGCTGGTCCAGGTCCACTGGAGGGTTTTTTTTTCTGAAATTTTGCCCAAAATCATGCCTCCTCTTTTTGCAGATGTCCTGGTTTGAAGTAAAACAGAACAAATATTCTTTTCAGTAATTTTACTTTTCAGCTAAGCATATTCTAACTAACAACTCTCTGAAATGAATGGCATATTTTTCAGTGTCGGCTTCTAGTAGAGATAAGGCCTGATGTTTATAGCTGATGCCCAGGCATGGTATGGAGAGAGGCTCCTGCTTATACTTATTGCTATAACACCCGAGGACAACCAACTTTGTTATTTGCCTCGTTGGAGAGTCGGAAGCGGAAAAGCATAGAGGGGTCCCACCTGCGGGGAGGAGCAGACAGGACAGGTGACCCAAAACTGACCAACAGGGTATTCCGTCTGCATCATGATCAGTATAAAAGCTGAGGGATCAAAGGGTCAGCCTCTTTCTTCAATGGCCAGCATCCAAGGAGGACTCTGTTCGTCTGCCTTTGACCCTGACCCGTGCGTTCCTGAATCCAGATCCTGAGTTCAGTTCCTGTACGTTGCTGATTCCAGTTTGGGACTTTCCCTGTGCCCTTTGGTGATGTGACTGTCATCCTGGGAGCTTGATACGGGATGTATATATTATATATATTTTTCATTATTTTCTTTTTTTTTTATATTATTATCTTTTTATTGTAAATATTTCATTAACACAGTTTAATTTCTTTTCAACTCATAATTCTCTCTCTCTCTCATTTTCCCTCATCTCCCCTGAAGGCAGATAGTCTCCCTTGTCTGAAGGGGAGGGAGGGAAAAGAGGGTGT